GTGTGTGTGTGTGCGTGCATGAGCGTGTGTGTGTATGTGCTCGTGTGCACGTGTGTGTGTGTGTGTGTGTAGCCGCTGTTGAGACAGTAAAAGTACACTGTTCCCTCAGTGCGTTTGTGTACTGACAGGGTCCAGCATGCATTGAGGGAATGTACACTATTATAAGGTACAGTGCATGCTGGGTAATAAATTGCCTCTTGACTGCCCAGTGTGCATGCAAGGTCAAAACTCACACAGTCTCTCATACACACGTTCAGTCGGCATCCAACCATGTTTTCGTTCAGAATTCTGCCTTTATAGAGAGAGAAGAGAGATGAGTTTATCTCAATTAAAATACAATGTGTTAAACACAAAAAACATTGCAATTGTGTATTTTTAACTGCACATTACCATGAACAATCATGAGTCAGTAGGTCTCATGAAGCTTAAGGGCACAATGTAGATGTTGATTCAGTGAAGGATTCATCAGACTGATTCAAACCTTGATTCAAACTGGCAGTGTTTTTATTGTTAAGTATAACTAAAATTAAAAGATGTTTGTTAATTTAAATAAATGTTTAAAAATGTTTAAGGTAAATGAATGAATTTAATGTAATTTAATTTAATTTAATTTAATTTAATTTAATTTAATTTAATTTAATTTAATTTAATTTAATTTAAAAGCTCAAAAATCCGAAATGTTGCCTTGGCAACTAACTGAAATAAGCTGAATTTTAAAACAAAACTGAAATAAATCTACATAAAAATATAAAAAAACAATAAAATTACAATAGCACAATACAATTACAATACAAAATTACTAAAGCTTTAACTAAAATTAAAATTAAAACGGAAATTATACAAGTTAAAAAATATTATAAAAGCTCATAAAAAAAAATAATAAATACTATAAGACTGTATAAATCAATGCAAACTGCTGAGTTTGTCTTTTAGAAAAATTCATTTAAAAACACTTATAAGAGTAATTTATTCATGATTACATTGTTAAACTGTTTGATTGTTTTTATGTCACTAACGCAATGAAAAGACGAAAATTCATGTTTTTTATTTTTTATTTATTTATTTTTTCAAATGATAGATCTGGATTTTTATCTGATGATATGAACATTTCTGGTATATTTTTTAAGTGTGCAGTGCCGAAATATAGAGATATCTTCACATTTTTATTTGATTTATTTTACTACTTAATACAATTATATCAAATAAAATTATTTAGGCAGTTCTGCTGTCAAAGTCTGGCTTGTGACATATTCATCCAAATGGGAAAACTATTGATTCCAATTATTGTGAAATGTCAAACATCTACAGATCAATCAACCACTAATATAAATGCATCATCTTCTGTGCAGACGTTGTATCGATACGTGCTGGAAGACGTTTATGAGTTCCCCACACTGGAGAAGGACCTGAAGGAGTTCCAGAAACTTCTGCGACGGAGACAGTGAGTTGCACACACACGTTTGCATTTTTAATTTAAAGGGGTCATATGATGCGATTTCAAGTTTTCCTTTCTCTTTGGAGTGTTACAAGCTGATTGTGCATAGATAAGATCCCTGAAGTTGCAAAGACTAAAGTCTCAAAACCAAAGAGATATTCTTTATCAAAGTTAAGACTCTGCCACGCCCCCCTAAAACGGCTCGTTCTAACACGCCCCCACATATCTACGAACTATTTGAGCCATTTCAAGTGGAGAGAATCAAAATGGATTTTTACGTAGAAAGGGTGACAGCGCACCGCATTAAAATAAATGATCATTCATGTTTTCATAACCGCTGGCCAACTTCAAAAATGAAACTAAAATTAAATAATCTTTGAGAGCAAGGGGGGCCCCCTACTGTTTCGGGGGCCCTACGTAGCTTGCGTATTTTGTGTATAGGGAGGATCGGCTCTGGGTGAGCATCTCCTAAACTCCCTCAAAAGTCAGTTTTTTAGCAGGTTTTCTGTATCTGACGAGTAAAACAGAGCAAACATGAGCAGGAATGCAGATGAGCGTGCACGCCTCTCCTGAGCTCTTTACGAGCTGTCGTCTGATCAGCTTAGCGTGGAAAGGTTCCCGTTGGGCCGCCGGAGCTGCTCTCATCCTCAGGGTTTGGCAGGCAGACGCTCGTTATCCCACTTAATGAGCTGACATGCTCAGAGGTGTAATTATGACTGCTGCGAGGGGCGGTGACTCACTGAGCTCACGCCCATCTGAAGAGATCTGATTGGCTCGCCGAGCGGCATCCCAGGGGCAGATGGGTAATGGGCCGTGAGCGTGTGTGAGATGAATTAAAGAGGGAAATAGCATCAGTGTGTGTGTGTGATCGCTGCTGATGTCTCCAATAATCTCACGTGTTTCCTCTAGAGTTTCATAAGAGGTTTTAATAATGTTTCTCAAATTGTGCTCAGATTGGAATAAAATAGTCAGAGATTAACTCCAATGTTTCTCATCAAGTTATTTGAATTTCTCTGAAATCTCAATTTTTTCCTTCTGGATAGCAGTGAGATTAAACGTCGGATTGAGTCTCCAATAATCTCACGTGTTTCCTCTAGAGTTTCATACGAGGTTTTAATAACGTTTCTCAAATAAACTGACTCTGCACAAATTTGCAAATAAATGTCAGAGTGTGAACTCAAACGTTTCACGTCTCAAACCATGCTCAGATCTCAGTGTGAGTGCAAACATTTCTCATCAAGTTTTTTTTAATTTATTTAATATCTCATTTGTTTCTTCCATACAGTTATGATATGAGACCTATGCTTGAGTCTGTTTGCTCCATCATAAGAGATCTCAATAATGTCTCAAAATGTGCTCAGATCTCAATATGAACCCGGACATTTCTCAAAAAGTAAATTCAAATTTATTTAAAATCTCATTTGTTTCTCATGGACAGCAATGAGATTAAATGGAGAGTTTTTCTTGAGACGATGTTTGATCAAGAGATTCATAGGAGATCTCAGTAATGTCTCAAAGTCCGCTCAGATGTCAGCGATCTCAATTTGAACATTTCTCGTTTCTCATAGACAGCAATGAGATTAAACTGAGAACTTTGACTTGAGACTGTGTTTGCTCTATAATTTCATTGGAGATCTAAATAAGAGTCTCAAACTGTTCTCAGATGTGCTAATAACTCAAACATGTCTTACCAAGTTAATTTGAGTATCTCAATTGTTTCTCCTGGACAACAGTGCAAATAAATGGAGTGCAAATGGAGACTTTTGCCGAAGTCTAGTGCATTTCACCTGAGAAAAAGACACCAGTAATCTCACATGTGTCTCATGTAAAGTTTCAAAAGTGATCTCAATGTCTCAAACTTTGCTTGGATTTGCCAATAAAACTCAGAGATCTCAATATTAGCTCAAACATTCTTCATCAAGTTAATTTGAAATTTTATAATAACTCCTCTCTCCTGGAAACAGACACCAGTAATCTGATGTCTCCTTTTAAGTTTCAGAAAAGATCTCAACAATGTCTCAAAATGTGCTCAGATTAACCAAAAATACCAAAATCTGCAACCAAAACTCAGAAATCTCAATATGACCTCCAACATTTCTCATCAAGTTATTTTAAATGTATTTCATGTCTCAATTGTTTCTCCTGGAGTGCAAATGGAGACTTTTGCTTGAGTCTAATGCTTTTGTATCTGAGAAAAAGACCTCAGTAATCTCATTTGTCTTCTCCAAAGTTTTAGAAACATCTACGTCTCAACGTGTGCTCAGATTTGCCACAAAACCAAAATCTGTAATCAAACATTTCTCATTAAATTCTCCTAGAACCAACCTGAGCTGTTATGTACATTCATTTGTATTGCTCTATAGCTCTTACTGTATGACAACAACGGTCTGTTTTAAATTCTTCTAATGAACTTTGGGAGAAACATCTGAGATGATTCTTCTGAGCTTTAAACGAGCAACTATTGAGCCAAATCACTGGCATTTGTCACGGGTAAAAAAAGAAAGTGAGAATTTTATTTCGAGGGACGAGATTATTAAAAGCACAAAAGAGTATTATTATTACTCAAAGATTATTAAAAGCAGCAAAAGAGTGATTAAAGCACTCATTTATCCTGCTAAAATCAGACTTCTCATTGTCTGGTTTGTGGAGCTCTGCAGCGCAGCGAGACAGAAACACAATCCTGAGTCTATCACCTCCTGTTAAAGCAGCGCTCTTCTGATAGATGGATGTATCTATCGACGTCTCTGTCTGTCCGGACAGATGTTAAATCAGCCGTCTCTCGGTGCGTCTGTCAGACTCACACCGGGAGTGTTTCTGCATGTTTCTGCAGTCGTGAACGTCTCGTCTTGTGTCTCTAAGCTGCTTTCTCTCTCTTTCTTCCCCTCAGTACGGTGGACGACTATTCTCCACACCAAAAGGTGAGAGAGACTGTGAAAACCAAGAAGAATTTACCCAAAAATGAACATTTAGTGAAGTAATGAAATTGTTAAAATGAAGAAAACGGCTAAATATTCTTTCAAAAATTCATAAAAAATGAAAAAATGAAGTTCAAATACTGAACTGTTGTTTGCTCTTCCAGAATAAAGCGCTGTACCAGCAGCTGAGTCTGAAGGAGAACTGCGTTCCTCTCCGAGCATCTCCAGTCGAGAGCAAAGACGGTAATACTGCTGTCTTCTCATGCTTGGGTTCTTCTGATTTATTTTCTATGTAGGCATATCATACACTGACATACACTATATGTAAATGTCTCAGACAGTGGTCTGTGGTCAAAGCTGAGCTGCAGCTAACAGAACCAGTGCTGAAAACTAAACTGGAAATCTAAATAGAAAATTTAAAAATGTTTGATAATACATATTTTATTTAAATTATATGTTTGAATATATAAAGACAAATTTTGGGTGGGTAAATGTCATGTGGAAATCTGTAGGTCAGGTTTCACCCTAAAACAAAAGAAAATAATTAATTGGAAATAAAAATATATATTTTATAATATTATATTATATAGTTTTTATATTATGCATTTATGTATGTTATACAAATTCATTTTTTTATATTTTGTATAATATGATTTTTTTTTTTTTTGCATTATGCTGATGAGAATTTTGGGGAAACATGCTTATTATGAAACTTATGTAAAATTATGCAAAAATATATGCAAATATGTAATAATAGAAACAAAATACTAACAACAATGTTCTTTTTGCAAATAGAAATTTATTATATATACATTTTTATTTTTTGATCAAATATAAATGTAAAGGAAATATAATAATAGAACAAAAACAATAATATAAGTAAATTTTCTTTATGCCAAATGCCAATATCAATTTAAATAAATAAATGTAAGGATATAATAATAGAAAAAAAATGAAGCACTACATTTTCTTTGTGTAAATATAAATTTATTATGAATAGTTTTTTTTAAAATCTTTTTGATACAATAAAATATGTAAATAAACAATAAAATTGTATATAATAATTGAAAAAACAAAGCATAATAATAGAACAAAATTTTCTTTATGCAAATATCAATTTAAATAAATGTAAATAAAATATGTTAATAGAAAAAATAACAAATTTAATAAGCACACAAAAATTCTTTTTGTAAATATAAATTTATTATAAATAGTTTACCTTTTTGATATAATAAGATAAAATAAAAAAGCATAATATACATTTTTTCTTTATGAAAATTTAAATTTAAATAAAAATATTCTTAGTATAATAATATATCAATGTAAATAGAATAAAAAACGAATATAAAAATATAATGTAATTTTTTCATCTTGTGATGTTGGGATGAAACATGACTCAACATGATGAATTTTGACAGCGTCTCTCTCTCTCTCTCTCTGATTGGTTGGTTGTTTCAGTGATGTGCCGAGTGTATGTGAGCTGTGATTCGTATCTGAGCATGCGGGTGAAGCCTGCGGTCGTGGCTCAGGAGCTGCTGCACATCGTCTCTCAGCGGATGGAGCGATCCGAGGACGACATGATGCTGGTGGCACAGACATACAGCGGAGGTTCATACACACACACACACACACACAC